GATAGGCCCGACGAAGATGAATAATTCTTTAGCTGTTGTGCGACATTGCACGATACTCCTGCCTCATGTACCTGGAAAGGAGCCAATAAACATCTTGCTTTCTTACTTCGCCAGGAAATAAGGGAATCACAAAGAAATAATACTAATTAACCTGTGGATAGACTTTCTGAGTCTAGTTGGATCACCAAGCCCAATCAGCATCAGAATATGCACAAAGCTCTAACTTTTAGATCGTTAGCCCAGAAACAAAATTGTGAGCGAGTGCTAGTACCCCGAGTACCGAGAAATCCGTAATAAGACAGCATAGTGTACAGAACCGTGGGACACTTAACAATTGACTGACAATACCAAAACAGCATGAGAGCATATTCTGTCGAGGAGAATGCACAAATAACAACTGACCAACAAGATGTCGATATCGGTTAGGATCAGATATGAGGCTCACCGTCAGTAGAGCAAAGTTTGACATTCTGCTTGGAGTGGAGTATCGACAGTTGTATTTATCAGTTAACTCAGCTGATTCTAGCAATATCTGAGAGATACTTCTGTTGGAGACAGTATACACCCGCGGGCCTATGAGAAATTATCTAGACCAAGCGAAATACCGAAGAGATCCAAGATCCTTCATGTGCGAACTGTTTGTTGCAACTGAGATTTTGCGTATTGTTATACCCTATCATATCATCACCTGTACATGATCATATCATCTACATAGATGAGTAATAAAACCTTTGCCACGCGATGTAGTCGCCCGAACAAACAGAGAAGCATCTTGATGACTTACTATAAAGCCGCTTTGAGCACACATCGCGAAAACACTCAAACAAGCGCGGGTGCCTGTTTGAGACCATAAACAGCCCACGACCCCGGAGGAGACATACATGTTCCCGGGAGGAATATTTGACCCTGGAGGCGGTTGCATATATACGGTCTCTGATAAAGAGCCATGAGAAAAGCATTTTGACATCCATCTGGTAAAGCGTGCCAACGATGAGCAGCCACGCGACCGCAATGCGCAGAGTACGCACAGGTGGGCATCTGAGCAGCCAACAGCTGAGCAAGGTGTCTCCTCATAATCAATTACCTTGTTGCCTGAGTAAAACCTCTAGCACTAAACGAGCTTTTCGACGCTCAATTGCGCTGCCATCAGACGAAACTTGACCTTATAACCCATTTACTGCCACAAGAGAGATCAACAGCGAGGACAGGCGAAACAATATCCAGCGTATGAGTTTGCTGAAATGCTTGAAATTCCTCAGCCATTAGCTTGCTCGCCACTCGCTGGAATTTGGAACTGCCTCTTGCGGAATGACTTTGGCTCAACAATAGTGGATGAATGGCCCAGCAAGAAAGTTATTGCAAAGATTAGGTAATAATGAAGCTAACAGAAGCATTACCGGGCAGGATGACATGTGTGCGTTTGCCTCGACTAAGAGCATAGATGGAACCTCAGGCTGCGGGAGATGCTGGCCCGCCGCCCACAGCGTGCATGAAGATCAACAGTATTTTCTGGAGTGAGGTTGTGTCCACAGGATATGGGATTAGATGGTGTAAGAGAAGACTCAGGTGAGGAAGAGTCAACAGAAGGACTGAGGGAGAGATGTCAGGGGAGATCTCGAAAGGAAAATTGAGTATCGTGAAGACGCTTGTCAAGTGGGTGATGCAGGGACGAGGAAGCCATTGATCGGTAGATGTGGAGGAAATTAAAGTCATCAGAAGCTTTAGTAATAATATCGGCAGAATCCTCTTCGAACTGAACATGACGAGATATATGCAACTCGACGAGTTGCGCGGATCATAACAACGATAACCTCGATGTTCTGAACTAATTCCATAAATAACACAAGAAACTGCTCTGGCGAGACAATTTATCACGTTCGTTGAGATGGCAGAAAAACCAAAACATCGAACAACCCAAAAACGCGAACTAGATCATAACGGGCGAGGATGCAGTATAAACACTGACTATAGGAGTAGCACCGGAAAGAGAGCTAGGATGGAGTGATATTAATCGGCATGAGTCGCCGCGTGAGAATATGCTCAGCCCAGAAACGCACGAGGAACAGCAGTAAGAAATTGAGCATGATCGGGCAAGTATCGAGGATATGCGATGTTTTGCGCCTTCCAGCAACACCATTTTGCTTATTGAGTGTAGGTACCATGACTGTTGAAAGATAGTCCCATGAGCAGGGACATGATAGAGACGCATGCCAGTAGGATAGCGTACTCTTTAGCCAAACATATCAGAAACGAAAAACTTTAATACGAGTATTGCCATGAAGATGAAAATATATTTCAGGTTGAAGGCTTGCATAAGCAGTAAGGTACGTCAGAGCGATTCTTAAGTAGGTAAACCCATTGTAAAACGAGAGAATATCGTCGATAAAAATAACATAATATAAGTAACCAGATGAAGAAGCAAATGGAGCCCTGGCCCCCAAATACAAATAGTCAGAATGTTACTAAATCAAATAAGCGAAGCTGCGATACAGATGTATCATTTTAAATGGTAAAGCAGTGAATTTAGCAAATTTGCAACCAGCACATGACTCAATACTAGAACTAGTGACTACCAGGACCAACGTACTCCAGACTGAATAGACTCTCCAGCCTTTTATTACACACATGACCAAGTCCGTCTATGCCATTAAATTGGCAGTGAAAGCGAGTGTAGAGGTTTCTTTTTGACGAACAAGAGAAGCAACAAATCGAGACACGTGGCACGTATGGGAACTCTGGAAGGTTGAAGATATTCAGAAATACATGTTGTGGCCTCCTACGGACCGACCCCCAACTCGTCTTTGCCCTGTCTGTGGATCCTGCTTACCCAAATACAAGTTCAGAAGAAAATGAGACAACAGGCCGCGCCATGCATACAAGACGCTAATAGAGAATTAAATTCAAGCAACTTGTGGAGCCACATAGACGGGACCACAGTGTTAGGACGACCAGATGGATCATTTTGTGGGGGTAACTTAGAGCCATTAACTGAGATAATGCGACAATGTGTTCGTCCGAGCAGCTGCTCTGTAGATAGGAGCGAAGAGAGCATGTCCAAGTAAAAGACCAGAGTGATAAAAGTGAGCATTTACAAGCTCATATGAATTAGGAACAACCAGCCAGTCAAAAAGCCAGAGATCATTACATACCAGAGACTGCAAGATTAGCGCTTGAAGAACCAGCAAAATGCATACCAGAGAGTGTTGTGGCGTGCGGATGTAGAGGTTGATATGTTGAAATAGCATCAAGTTCGACGGCGAAGACTTTTTCAATAGCTTGATAGTCAGAGTCTGAGTAGTAGAAGTGTTATAGCATTGGCCAACAATCCTGGTGTACGAAGAGGGTGAGACTGAGCGGGGTCGCGACCCGTCCATGTTACCTGAGGAACGTAACTCGCGATGACATGCTTGGCAAGCACGTGTCTTCAATGGCCTGGCTGTCCTTCCTTTTAACAATATTTGCAGAGAGCTTAGATCGTCACCTGTGGAGAGGGGCCTGTGTCGAGAAGTATTAATTCATAACAGTGAGCAGTGACAGGTTACAGACAAAAACAGTTCTCGAGTGCAAGAGGTAGGAGGTGTCTGTGACAAATGAGTCGTCGCTGTCTTGTGCCGGGTCTCATAAGAGTGAGAGCTTCCCAATAACTGAGGCCAAAGTCGGAAATTGAGGCTGGTGAAGTAGTTTGATCAGCCATAGCTCTGAATATTCAGGACAGGGACTGAAACAATTGATGCACCTCATCCGTTTCGTACCAGCGCTAGCCAGTCTTCATATGTGGGACTTACGTCCAGGAAGCATGGGAGCGCTAACTCTGGTCAAAAAGCTTGCATTTGCTCAAAAATGGCGGACTGCAGAGATGAACTACCTTTGCGTTGTACGAGAAATGCGTCCTGCCAGAACGATATGCCTCCCGTTGCACCCGAGCCACTCCGAGTGAAACGCTCAGTGAGACGAGTCCACATGGCCTGAGCCAGAGGGGAAGCGAGCCAATTCTCCGACAGTGACGACCAGAGCCCAACACAGCGAGTAGATAAATCCATAAACACGAATTCCTGCAATTGCCACTCTGAACTCTCCTTGACACTAGAGAGACCAGAGCCAGTCTGCTGAAGATCGACATCAACCACTGCAGAGCGGCAATAGTACTGGATGAAGCAACAGTGCTGCATGGACGGTGGAACTGGTCCCGTACTGGTGAGATGATCAAGCAATACCTAGCGACCACGCAAGGCATTGGTGACAATGGGTGAACCACCCTGCCAGCTACTTGATCATTGAGGGGCAAACGCGTGGTTGGGAATCTTTCTCTGAAGGAGCCATTAACAGCAATCTTTGAGACGTAATAAGATGTCGGAGACTGCCTGTTACTAATGTCGTTCGTTTTGAGGCCGAGCAGACGACGCTTGAAACGACGCATGCCTGTTAATTTGAGACGAGCAGAGCGGTTCTTGAAACGACAATGCCCCGTTAAAAATAGAACCCGAAGCGTTTAGAATGAAACCGAAGGGTTTAAAATAGAACCGAGGTTAGAATGGAAAACCGAATCGGTTTAAAATAGAAACCGATAGGTTAGAATGAACCCGAAGCGTTTAAAAATAGAACACCGAAGGTTGGAATGAACTCGAAGTTTAAATAGAACCGAAGGTTAAACGAGAACGCCGAAAAACGCTGTTAAGAGGCCGCAAAACGACAAGGCCAAAATATCTGGCAGCGATAATGAACGCCGAAATAATTAAAAATTAAAAATAAAAAAATATAAAAACATTAAACGGCCTTGCAATGCAATAAGGCCAAGATTTGGCAAAAGCCAACGCCAAAAGCGTTAAAAAATTTTACTTGAAAGCGGAAATAGCCCTAGCTCTGATACCATGTTAAAGTTAAGAGAGAGAGGAGAGAATCTTAGGTAAATTTCCCTTAGATTGACATTGAATATGAGTGCTGCACATATATTTATACAAGTAGAGGAGTGTGAGGTTTGTTCTCCCAAGCAATGTGGGACTAAAACCCACTACAATACACTATTATCAACATATATAAAAGAAAATTCTGTACTGTACTATGACATGTTGAAGCTACACATAGTAATTCGTTAGGCGGAAAACAAAATATATGGTGAGTAATTCACGTGTACCTCCTGAGGAGATCAGCTGGTAGACCTTGCTCAGTGAACTTCCAACTTTTATATACTGCAGATGACATCTCCATGGCAAATCTCCCAGGAAACACGGTCTTCTCAAGAACTCCATCAGCATTGATGAGAATCTGACGAGCCAAAGCATTGATATTCATGGTATCACGAAAATGTGGGCTCAAAAGTCTGTATATCGGGTGCACTACACTCAATTGCCGATTTGTTGCAATCACAAATGGCTCGATTGTTGCATGTGTGTTCAGCCTACAACACCAATTTGATAAAAAAAAAAACATATACACGTTCATTTCTAGTTATAGATCTTGATAAATTTCTGATTTCACATACCAATGGCTGATGAGCTGGTGAACTCCAGAGTCATTAACAGTAGCATAGGCCTTGGCCAACTGCCATATTGATCCTTCGACTCCATGATCGGAAGGTGTAAAGACTCTGTTGACTGCACCATGTTTTTCTCCCTCGGGATGAGGTAAGCTTAGCTCGATTGCCAAGGGCTTTAGAGTACTATCATCATTAAGGAATAAGAGAGTTCGAGTTGCGTATATTTTATTAGAAGTAGCATTGACTCGGTTCAAGTATGGCATAAGGGAGTCGTGATGGTCCAAAATGAAGAGCCTGTTGCTCTTCAATGCCTGAAGGATTAAAAAAAAAAGTCTCATCGGTATAGCTTACACATCAGCATTATTAAGTTAAAAAGTTCCATGGGATTTTGGTATAATACCTGATCGACTGTAAGTCCGTCTAGGTTTTTCTCAATATGGTCCTTTGTTATGGAGCTAGTATGGTTTCCATATAGTTTTGTATCAAGACTACTTGTTGGTGGAAATTCCTGAAAGTTTTTAGAAGTTTTTCCTATTTACTTTAGTGGAGGAGGAGATGATTAGATTTAAATATACACATCAACTTCAGTTTACCTGAAGGCGTGTAAGAATTACAGGGTTTACACCAGCAAGCATTTCTCGTCCAAATTCTTCGTCAGTCCTCCAAGCAAATTTATTCTCTGAAATCATATAAAAGGTTGTCAGAATCAGATTGATTTTGTTATATAGCAAAATATTAACTGACATAATATTCGAGGAATGACATATCCTTGAATAATATAGTGCCCTAGATGCTATCTATCTATAAAATTATTATCAAAGAAGACATATTTATGTTACTTAACAAAACGAATAATGTAACAAAAAAGGGAATGCAAATCATGATGATCATTGTCAGTACCTTTGATAACTTGTGGCACTGGAAGCTTAAGTATATAATCACCATCGGCTCTCACCAATTCCTTAATCATCTCAAAGGGAGTCCTGCTTCTAATCTCGTCAAGAACTGGAGACTTGGGCAGCTGAAGCCCTCCTTCATAGAGGTTAAGCACGTCTTGGAACGAATCAAACTCCATTGGTGTTTCATCGAACAATGCATTCAACGTGGGGAGTAAAGCCTGAGTCACTGACTTTAGCGCATATGCAAGGAAATCAGACATCTTAAGATGACCAAACCGTTCATCTCGTGGAACATAAATGTCTAGGCTCAGGAGGGGTAGTCTACTCTCTGATTTCGGATCTGAATATAAACAACGAAATACAAACATATTGGCAAAGTACAAGATTATAACCCTTGACTCTCGCGACAACTTCAAATTTTGGTATTATGAAAGGGACTTAAGTTGATATCAGAGTAACGAAAGTTCAAATCAGTGAGCTTTTTGTTAGGGTAAATTGTGGATATGCACCTTGCACTATCCTCAACAATAGAACTACATGGGGTCTATCCACAATTAACCCTTTTTCTTACCGTTGTGAAATAAATCAGGGTTTGGACCATGAGATAGGCTCTCAACTAGTAGGAGCATGTCATAATACAAAATGATATCCCTCAATTGTTCATAACAAATTTGGAGTCGGAAGGGACTTTAAAAGAGTCGGGAGTACAAATGTCTATGAACAGAGATGACCTCATCTCTAGGTTAATCTACTTGGATTCAAATTGATATCAAAATAATTACCCCTATTTCAATCATGAGCCCTGCCATATTAATAAAATTTCCATTGAATTGTTTTTTAATGTAGGATTACATCTCATATTATGAATTTGCTAGATCAAACTCATACATTGAACCGAAAAAAGGTGAGATAGTCCTAGCAAAAACACATATGAATTAAATATCTTTTCTATATCATAGAAAATGGAGTTATTGACAAGAAAATTTACCACTCTTCGTAGGAGGACGTCCAGTTCGTCCCCTACGAGGATAGGGGTACTCTTTGGAGCCTCCAAGCACGGGGCGAACATATGCGGGTCCCTTGTCAGGATTACCCAGATCATTGTAGTAGTCATAACCATAAACACGATCGTGCTCTTGGAGCTCGCCTGTAACATTGTCTCCTCTTAGACGGTGTAGCTCCTCTTCTCTGTACTGTCTCAAAGTTTCTGGCATTTCACTTGGCAGATAGGTCTGCCATCAAAATTAGGAAAAATGATAGTAAACAGTCTTATTGCTTTTCAAAACTGTGAACATTATACTACTACTGGCTATTTACTATGTTTAACGGATGCCTGTTGCCATCAAAACAGTTCTATTTACTGTGGTTTATCCGTTTATGCTTAGGATTGGTGCTCATGCATGACCTTCAAACTATTGTAAGCCTATAGATCGATATATATCCTTTTGTTTTGATGAAAGTAAATTCACATACTTATCGTAATTGCATCCACAAATTAAGTTCAACCCAAATTTTAGATCCCCATGAACAACAAACAAACAAATAATAAGTGTAATCTAACAGATGTTCTGTCCAAATTTTAAGCAGGACTTCTAATATCCAATCCTTGAATATATAGTACAAAGTGATCCAACTCCCTAAGCTTAATCTAAATTCCGAATTATAAAAGCAACCATTACTTAAACAAACTTAAGAAACATATCACGACTAAAACAACATCATGCATGAAATGATTATCATACCAAAGATACCCTAACTAAACCAATACCATGCATTGATCTCTTATAAAAAATATGATTACTTAACCAACACTATGCAATGATCTCATCTCTATTAAAAATATGCACGAAATCTTACATCATTAGTGAAGAAGACCCGTTCATACGTGTACTTGTGAACCGGGTACACCCAAGAGTTGCACACGAAGTGGACCCGGCCCTTTTGTGGGACCCCCTCTAAAGTCAAGGTCTTTAGAAAGAACTCTGAATGGTGATTATTCTCAACAATAACGGCGCCCGGTATTCCTTGGCTATTGTCCCACTCAAATGTGACCTTAAATTGCGACTCGCCAGTCGAAATTGATGATAGTGTGCTAGCCCATTCCTCCAAGTATGCTGGGCCTCCAACTGTTCCTCTGTTTCCTTTGTCTAATTGCAATCACACACACAAACACAGAAAAAAGATATAATAATAATAATAATAATAGTAACAATGAAGGTGGTGCATGACATTTGTGGAAGCCAAAGACTGCAGTGGTTGCATAGGACAAATTTGGCTGTTTTTGGATCAGTGATTTATTAAATAAAAAAATTGAAGTTCAAAAGACAGTATATTTCGCCTGTACTGTTGGCAACTTAGCACACATACCAACATCACGACTAACAGAGACAACATATTTCGAAAGCCCACACAGATAGGAAGCTTGAGATATAGGGTTGAATATTGAGATATTTGTAGGATAGGCAAGAATAGCAGTTTTGGGCTCAGGAACTCAGTTTGACAGGTTGGCAGTCGACCGAAGTCGTGCACGAGGCCTCATTGTGCCTCTGGATCTTTAGCAGTCGACCGTGACGGTCGACCGTAAAAGTTTCTGCTATTATGGTCGACCGTGGCGGTCGACCGCACCTAAGTCCAGAGACTTAGGGAAGTCTCTGGAGTTGATGCGGCGTCGACGGCAGTCGTACCGCGATCTGCGCAGTGGAACATCACGGTCGACCGGAAGCGGATTTGGGTTGGGTTTGGTTTTCAGACCCGTTTCGTTTGGGAGTTGTATATATACCATTAACTCATTTTTAGGGTTTAAGGGAGAGGATATTGAGCTGAAGAAAGAGGAGATTTGGGGCTTCTATTGTTGGAACCATTTGAAGAAATTAAGAGGGCTTATTTGTGGGTTTGTGGTAAGATTTGTAACCCTAATTATATTCCCCTTGATTTCTAATAGTAAAACTCCCCCCTCCTTGCCCCGTGGACGTAGGCAATTTGCTGAACCACGTATATTGTGTGTTCTTACTGTGATTGGGTATTGCTTATGCTATTGGGATCTATTTATTGGTTCTTATGTGTGCTATTGGTTTGCTGAATCGGCGCTTTTTTTTTCCCGCGGGGCCGTACCACAATATTTGCATTTGCGGATCTAAATCCTCTTTAATTAGATGGTGATTAGAAATGACGCATTTCTATTGTATGATTCAAATATGTGAATGCTCATATAACGGGTACCAAAACATAATTGTTTTTTTCAAATGACCATCCCATGTATCGAATATAAGTAAATATGGTAAATGGATACATATCAAGCTATTGTATAATTACTCAATCAACTTCCACTAACTATTGAGATGTCAGCCACTATGAAGGCACAAGAAGTAAGCCAATGTATACTAGAAGAATTATTATATATATATATTATATATATATATATATATATATATTATATATATATATATATATATATATATATATATATATATATATTTGTTTCAATATTTGACAATGTTTTCATAAAAAATATTTTCTTACAATATCATATGAACAAGGTCATTCAATATACGTATTGATTTCTTCAATAAGCATGTTCGATATAGATCAGCAACGAACCATTAGTCTTCACAGAAATTGCTCAAAAAACCTTCTTTAACTTTGGACGATTATCAGATAACCTCTCATAACTTTCATAATATTAGTAAACCCCTTTTAAGTTTAGGGGCTATCACCAAACTCTCTATAAAAGTGTGAACCGCAGACCTTGCATAATTTTATCCACCAATGCAAAAACTTGTGATTAATGCTGTTAGGTGTTTTTCTAATAAAATCTTAAAATTACGGGGGTTTTCTAATTAATAATCCCTCAACTTGGCGGTTCTGATATGTTAAAAGTTATGAGAGGTCATCTGATAATCGTCTAAAGTTGCGAGGAGTTTTCTGATATTTAGCCCATATTTTATATAACTTATTCTCCTTTATTCATCCAATAAAACAGGCCTTAATAAAGCTGACTCACTCATCCTAGATGTTAACACACATTCTTGCTTAGAACACTGGGAAAGTGTTAAAATGGGGCCGAATTCGTGTGAACGAACACAGATGATAATGGACAATCCGACAATGGGACATGTGGGCCCAAATCTATGCATTTAATTCGTCATCAGAATAAATACGTAGAAAACCTTAAAACATAGGTTATAATTGCTATTCTTTTATCATTAAATTAAAATATCAGAAAACTTCCCTTTACTAATTTTACTTGGACCATTATCAGATAGCCCCCGTAACAAGAAACCCCCTTAAATTTAGGGGTTATTAGGGAACCCCTCTGGCTTAGTATTTTTTTTCAGAAAATTCCTTTAAAAACGTGAATCTTAATTTTCACTAGCGAAAATATCATCATGAATGATTTTATCCACCCATATGAAAACTACAATCCATGCTAGTTGGGAGTTTTTTAATAAAATCTTAAAGTTAAAGAAAGTTTTTTGTTAGTCTCTAAATTTAAAGGGGTTTCTAATATCTTGAAAGTTATGAGGTCATCTGATAATCATCCAAACTTAAGGGTTTTTTTTAGGATATTTAACCTTTTTCATTATTTTGAATAGTATAATATATTTGATTATGCTACCAAAAAACATATTATTAATAACTATCACTATCCCATCAAAATAATAATAATAATAATAATAATAATAATTTTAACAGCCAACTTCTTAAACATACAAAACTTAAGAACCTAATAAAATTTTCCCTCATAAAGAATAAACATTATCGATAGTTTTCAAAATTAATGGAAAAATTCTTCTATTAATTAATTTAATCGACCACATCAGGTTTGCTCTTCTTTCTAACTTAATCATAAACGTTGAGATCTATAATCTCTACTTTTTTTTATTAGTAAGTCAGCATGCAGTTTCCTAGTACATTAATTTTGCAAATGAGATCTTTTTCCCCAAAAACTCATGCAGTCTATCAAGCAAAGCAGCATGAAAATCATTGAAATCCAGCACGTTTTTCTTCATTAGCACAACCGTCCCAATGATCTTCACCTTGTTGCTCTTTGGCTCTTCTCTGTGAGCCTTGGTTGATATTGCATCAAGTATATAGCGAAAGAACGACATCTTTCTTTGTTATTTGCCTTCAAATTAATTTGCAGAATATGAGTTTCTTCTTTACTCTTTTGTGGGAGAAGGAGAAAAGTGGAGAGGAAAATGAAACGGATGATGTGTACTGAAGATAAGTTATGAGGTTATTTATAGAGGTACAAAGACATAGAGGATTTTTTTTTTTTTTTTTGGGTTTGGGTTGGGTTGGGGTTTTTCTTTCTTTTTTCTTTTTTTTTTTTTGGGCTACATATTTATGTTTAGTACGTAACATTATTTAAGGAAGCTAACCAGTAACTATTGACTGGGGTACGTTGAGGCTTGTGCAGAGGGGGAACGTCATAATAATTGACCCGAGAGTTAGTTTACAGTCTCAAGGTGAAGCCTTGAAGAGAGGCTTTGCTTTGTCATCGACTTAATTTAGAACCCCCTGAACTTTGGGGGTGTTACGTAGAGCCCCGGCTCTGAACATTTTTTTATCCCTCTAAATCCCTCTAAAATTTTCTTACTTCACTTTTCAAATTAACACCATTATGCCTAATGCGTCACGTGCGTGTAAATCTTCTAATTTCTTTTTCAATTAACCCTCCAAAATAACATCGTTTGCTCTAATGCGTGACTTGCGAAGCACGTGACCAAAAAATCAAAATATTCCTTAGCTCTTACAAAATAATTACCCTCGTCTTTTTCAATAATTTTTTTTTATAAAAAGGAACCTTTGTATTGTGAATAGATTTGAATAGATCGACACGTTCCAAATACTAAAACATTTCAAATTAGATCACTTGACCTGAACTCATCGATATGTAATTCTTAAAACATAACATCCTTTCATTCCGGTTCGATTATAATTGATTGTCTTAATATTCCACGGTGAATATTTTCCCCACTTTTTCTTTCTCCTTAATTTCCTACGCTTAAAATGGTCTCCCCGCATGTTTAGCAACCTAATTTTTTTTAATTTATATGTATGTTATCACTTATAAGGACCCCAAATTATGCTTAGTAAAATTTACTTATTATAAGTAGGAAATAATGAGTTGCGGTCTTCTAACTTGTTCTTTTGGTAAGTAGATTTATTTATTAATGTTAAAAAATTGTTTCGCCCTCTAACAAAATAAGTAAAAATATGTAATATGTAACTTATAAAGTTTATACCAAGTATTAGTATCCTTCTGTGTTATTTTTTCCCATGAGTACCTTTTGGAATTTGATAGAACCTCATCTTGGACTTTGTAAAATGTCAAGTTTGTTGGATCTGAGATGTAAGCATAGAGGGTGGTGAATATGTTTGTTGCAGTTATTTCCTAAAGCACAGAATATGGAGCAGAAATATAGAAAAATAAAAGCGTACAATCAAACCGAAAATCAATCAAAGAACATGCGAGATTTTTATAGTAGTTCGGATAACAATCATATGTCCACTCTTCCTTCTTACGAAAAGGATTCCTTATGATGATCATAGTTCACCTAAATCACAACCCGATTCAGTATACTTACAAAGATTGTACGCTGAAAACTACCCGAAACTAATCGTCTAACCTAACCCCTCACAGATGAGTAACACCTAGCCCTAACCCTCAATATTACCAGCTTAAGTACGTCATTAAAACAAGATGAAATACCAACAACCAAAAATAGTTTAAGCACAAATTTAAAAAGATCTTACAGCTCTTTTTCTAAGCAAATTGTTCTTCAAAAGATTGAAGCGAATCTTGATAAAGAAAAGGTGATGATGTTGAATCCAAGGGAAACTCTCCTCACCAATACGATCTGAAATACTAAGCGTGATGAGAAAGATTTTTATAAGGCTCCGGGGGTTATAATCGCAAATTAGAATCTTCTTCATAACCGTAGAATAAAATCTCTCCAAAAACTCTCCTTTTTTCAAAGCAAAGAATGTGGCCAAAATATTGTCTATTCCTATTTTATATAGCCTTTGATAAATAAAGAAAAAGATATTAAAATTATAGTAGAAGTTGGAGATAAAATGGATCAACGAACGGTTGAGATTAAATCACCAAATCTTCCAAAACGCGTCGTCACCATTGGTGGGAAATCCCAACGATCGATGGTCCATTGATGCCCCATCGATAGTTCCCTATAATGAATCAATGATTGAATAACTAGTTTCTGGAAACTATCAATTGTGCACTGTACACTATTGATAGTACGTGGTATTAGCCGTCAATGATTCCCTAACGACCATTGATGGTGTCAGACCCAGTTTCTAGAACTCTTCAACTGTGCACTATAGTCCACCAATTATCTCATAACCATCGATAGTGTGTCAATGACCATCAACGGTATGATGGTTGAAATTAACATAAATATTGATTTTTGCATCGTTTCATCCTATATCTTTCTGTATACATATTTATACCTATTGCGTGTCTATGCGGAAGCGTGCCTACTCACCAAACAAGTCGTAAGCACGGGAGAAGAATAACCAATCACACACGAGCACAATCCAAAACTGAAATACGACAGATCAATCACAAACATAGAGATATATATGGTTCGACAATTTGCCTACGTCCACGGGGAGAGGATGAGGAGATTCCACTAAATCAAGGAGAGTACAAAGGGTTACAATCTCACAAAAGTCACAAACTAACCCCCAACCAAAGCTCTCAACTTGCTTACAGTATCCCCCTCTCATAATGCTCAAAAGTCTTTCTAATCTCTGATTACAACTCTCCTCTTTTTGATGATCCTAATCTCTTCTAAGGCGTTTCATATATATAGAAAACCTAAAACCAAAACTGACTAGGAATTCTAAAACTAAAAACAAAACAAATTAGGAATCCTAATAACCTATTACCAAAATAGATTAAGAATCATGTTACCAAAATAGTTTAGGAATCCTAATAACCTCATGTTATCAAAATAGATTAGGAATCCTAATAACATGTTATCAAAATAGATTAGGAACATGCTATCCAACAATTCTCCATCTCGGGTCATAACTTTAGAACATGCTGCGAAGAACGGATCATAACTTCCAAACCGTAAATCGGAATTGGACGAATTATATATAAAAATTGACTATCTCGACGAGACGGAGCCGACCAAACCTACCCCAAAGGGTTCGGTTTGCTCCTTTCTGTTTTACTAAATTCCTTACAGTTTGAGAGATAATAGCATTTTTTTGTCAGTTTTGAGCTTCTTTGCTAGGAATTAAGGTAACTTTTATTACCTACAAAACTCCCTCCAAAGTTTTTATACCCAAATCAGGTTGCATGGGGCTGAAATACTTTGGATCTTAAGGCCTGCAAAATGAGCACGATTTATATAAAATGAGGAGCCTTCCAGCGAACTTGGTCATTCTAGCAAAGTTGAACTCTTCAAACATAGCTAATGATTGTCATCTAGGATTTTTAGCAAAACCCTCAGCTATCAACGGACATGTCTTTACCAACAATTGTTTGAGTTGGAATAGTCATGCTTTTGCCCTTAGCATGGTAAGTTGTCGAGGAGTTTCTCTTAGGCTTAATGTTAAGATTTCTCCTCTATCCTTAGCCATTCAATGCGTTGGATTAAATGTTCGAGCATGATTACAATAGTTAAGTTGTAATCGAGTTTGGTTGTGCCATTTGTTATAACTCAGCCTGGTGTTTTGAAAGTGAGGCTCATCGCATGGTAGGCATGCTGGAGTGTGGTGATGTCGTTGATGAATAGTGACTCATCGTATGGTAGGTCACTATTTTGATTGAGTGACAAGTAGGTATTCATCGTATGGTAGAACACTACTTGGCGAGGGATATCAAGTCGTTCAGTGACATGGGAGTATAACAACTGTAATTAGAATAGTGACACATCACGTGGTAGGTCACTATTTAGGAATAAGGGGTAGATAGGGGCTCATCGCTTGGTATGCCACTATTGATGAACAACGTCATTTGCAGGAATGACGGTGTGGAGGTAATCAAGTCATTTAGTGACGTGAACGTATAACGACTGTGATTAAAATAGTGGCACATCACATGGTAGGCCATTATTTATGACCATTATAAGAAGATACAACGTTCTGAAAAGACCAGATAGTGGATCATCGCATGGTAGATCAAAATCTTGATCGAGAGACAAGTAGATGTTCATCGCATGGTAGAACACTACTTGATGAAGTATTTTTAATAGGGATTAAGAATTGATTATTAGAGGTAATCATTAACGTGATAATTTTATGGACCTGTTATCCTATTGAAGATGATTGGTGGGAGAATTTAGAGAAAGTGACTATCAGAGGTAATCATTAACATAATAGTTTTATGGTCCCACCATCCTAATAAAAAGAATTGGCGATGAAATTTAGAGGAAGTGACTATCAGAGGTAATCATTAACATGATAGGTATTATGGTCCGCCATCCTATTGAAGAGGTTTAGCGAGGGAATTTGGAGGAAGTGACTATCAGAGGTAATCATTAACATGATAGTATTATGGTAAGGGGTCAGATGCTCACGTCTAACTTCGGACTCACCTTGGAGTTGATATATGACGAGCTTCGAGTCGTCACGACTCCGTTAGAGAGAAAGCTTTGAGGTAGTACATGATTTTGCAGAGAAATCATGACCACCCCCATTCCAGCGATAGCTATAAATCATGATTGAAGGGTAGAGACTCCTGCATCCAATAAGGCTTGGATCTTATCCTTTAGAGTATAGCATTTAGTGGTGGGATGATGGACCATCCTGTGGTACACACAATAGTTGGGATCATCCATTCTCGACATCTCCTCAGGTCGCATCGATTCTGGGAGCTTGATATTTTTCATCTTGATTAAGGATTTGAGTATCGGGATGACTTACTCATCTTGGAAGTCATACTTCTGCTGAAAGTAGCTATCCAAAGATTTGCCCTTCTGCTTTGACGAAGATTTAGGGGAAGAAGTGGTTTTCACCGACAAAGCATCTTTCCCTTTTACATAAGTCAGAGGGGTGAGTTTGTCTTGGTCATCACCTCCTTGAAAATCACATGGCTCTTCAGCATCTAGCCTATTGAGCATACTTTTGACCTATTCTTCTTGGCGAACAAACTCTTTCTAAGTTTGGGTCTTCTGCTCCAATCTTGGATAAAATATGGATCGAGAGATTATTACAACACATCTTGATCAACGTACTTTCAGAAACTTGATCACGACAATGCAGCGAC